GTCCCAATGCTGCGCGGCGCCGGCTGGGTGCGCTCTGAGTCCGCGGCTCCGCTCGCGCCTTTATAATCCAACCTGCCGCTGATGTCATCCTCCCGCCCACACGGCCGCCCGGGCCAATGGCACGCGCGTCGAGGGCGGGGAGGGGACCGCGGGGGCTCCCCCTCTGCCCCCACCTTCATCCCACTCCGGAGGGATCTCGCGGCTTGGCGGTCTCTATCCCTGCCGCACTCCAAGCTGCAAAGCGGCTCGCACAAGTGAACTCCAATAGCAGGGAGCGCACGCCCTGGCATGCCAAAAGTCGGTGCTCCCCGTGACCTGCGCACAAGCTTGGACCTCAACACACACGCTCTTCCTGGAAGGGATCAGTCTCCTTTCTGCAGGTGCAAACATAGGCTCAGAGGAATTAAATCATTTGCCCAAAGTCACATAGCCCGAAAGTTGGCACAGCCCCAAATCCGCGCAGATCTGCCTTGTTGCCAAACTCTTCCCGGGGCGCCTGACAGGCGCGAGGCCTGGCGCTGCAGCTACACCTTTCACCTCCTCGTCGGGACAGTAGTTCGGATCGCACCGACGCCTTTAGGTTGGGGAGACAAAGGATGGGGCCGGAGGTCCGGGAGGTAGGCGCAGAGAGAGCGGGGTTTGCCCAGGGCCGCAGTGGGGAGCGCAAATCCTACACCGTAGAGCGCGAGCTTTTCGTCTGCGGGTGTGTTTGAGTGCGAAATGTGAACGAGGTGGGCTTCGAGCGCAGACCTGAGATACGAGTGTTCATGCGTTTGTGCGGTAGAATCGTGCACCCGACACTGTGGTTCTAAGTGCGCATTCAGCCCAGATGGGCCGCACAGAACGTCCGCGGGTCTAACCCGGCGGATGGCTTCTGTCTGCACCGACTGGTGCGCGTCTGACCTTGTCTGCACCCACGCGAGGATCTGCAGCGTGGTCTGCTCCAATGTCCTGTGCTCCTGCACAGTCTGGAGAGGGAGCTTTACCCAGCCCAGAGTCCAGTCTGGCTTCTGTGAGCAATGACAGGTGGTCTCTTTCGTGTTTTGGGTTGCAGAGAGGTCCCTGTCATAGCTGTGTGAACACAGCTATGTATCTGGTCCTTCACGTCTTTCTCTCCTTGGGCAGGGAGTCTCAGTCCCTTAGGCTCTGAGAAGTTCTTCTAGATGCGTCGCGGCGGCAGAGAACCCTAAGAATTGAGTGAGTTGCAGGAATCTAAGACTCCGCTGCTGCCGCTGAACAGGACTCTGCCGGAGAGCAGGGAACAGGGGAGTGCTGGTAGACCCCAGGCCTGAAGACGACCTCAGGTTTGGAGGTACCTGGAAGAGCTTTTTCAGGGAAAGAAAGCTGTGCCTAAAGCACGAAGGCTACTGGTGTCAAGAGAGACCTGGAGATCAGGTTCCACTCGGTGGATCCCGCAGTGAAGCCTGAGCCCAGAGCATGGAGGCAATGCAAAACTATGTGCTCTTTCCTACCTTTGCACTCTGAACTGGAAACTGCGGATGAATCCTACATCCCTTTGTTTAGGAAATTACCTATACCTGAGGCCTAAGTTTGGGGTAGCAGAATCTCCTGAACTCCAAAGGATCCAGACATCAACAGGGTACTCTTAGTGAGTTCTGTTTAGTTGACTCACCACCTCCAGGCAGCAGCCCTGATTGCCTCTCCATGGGCAACACCTATCAAGTGGCACCTCTGTTTCATTTGAGGAGAAAGGAAGAGGCATACAGGGAAGAGGCAGGGATCTCTGGGTGGGCCATGGAAGTCCCCTCTCCTCTTTGTCTAGTGTACAAAGAGGAATGTTACCAATCCAGAATATCCCAGAGACTTGATTTTTTGTTTGTTTTTTGTATGTATATACATATGTATGTGTGTGTGTTTACTTGAAGTATAGTCAGTTTACAATGCTGTGTCACTTTCTGGTGTACAGCATAATGCTTCAGTCATACATATTCTTTTTCACCCTAAGTTACTACAAGATATTGAATATAGTTTGAGACTTGATTTATACTGGTTGAAGGAGCCAGGCAGACTGACTTCTGAGCAAGCCATGGGGTGATTTCCAGGGAGCAACAGCTACATCCTCTGAAACCCCTTATTAAGGACAGGTTGGAAGCTTCCAATGCTCCATCGTCACCTCCTTCTGCCTGAATATCTGCAGGCTGGTTCTTCCTGTCTTCTGTGTCCCTTGAATGTACTTGGTTACAGCTGAGTAACCATCTAGGTCTCCCCTCTCTTTGAGCTTTAACTAAATGTAATAAACTGACTCCTCCCCACTCCCACCCCAGTGTGGACAGAGCCAACACCTTGAACTCTACTTCCCCTCTTTGGAAGAAGAATCTTCTGGTCAGCCCCCACTTCTGACAACTGGTCTGTGGTCATTTGGGGCAAACAAGATCCTGGCTAAGGTAACTGCTGCATGAGGCTTTCCTGGGGCAGACCACAGAGTGGCTCCTGCTTAGCTGGGGCCTGGGAGGTGGGGTGGATAGAAGTGGGAGCTCAGTGCTGGGGGGAACTTCAGGGAAGGAGGTAGTCAGCACAGGACTGCTTGGCGACTGAGGCCTTCCCCTCCCCCTTGGTTTCCTTGCCCAGGAAGCTGCAGAGAAAGCTCTCTCTCCCTCCCGACCTAGACTGGGGACTCAGGTCTCTTATTCCTGCTTTTCCCTCCTGAGGTCTGCTCTTTCTGCTCTGGCCCCAGGGGCCAGGCCTGGCAAAGCTGGACCCACTGAGCAGCTGAACAGGAGCAGTTTGTGGCACTTTATTGACTGCTCAGTGTGAAAACTCCTCCTGATGGCAAGGAGAGAGAAGAGGCTGCTGGGCCTCAGGAGCCTGGCAATTATGTAGAGAATCTTGTCATTTGTCACTTATCCATCCACTGATTTCCCAAGTATTCACTGAGCATCCATGCAGCCTGTGGAGTTCCATCCGGCAGGAAGACACCCCCCCACCCCCCACCCCAGGCAACAGACACTAGCTTTGTAAGCTAAAAAGGACAATGGCAGGGAGGGAGGGCAGCTCCCCCAGCTTGGGCTAGTAGGGCAGGCTTCATGGAGAAGAAAAAGTCGGTGCTGAGCCAGAGCCCTGGCAAGCAGGAGAGAAGGGAAAGAAGAGGGAAACCTAGATGTAAAACAGGGTGACTCCCTTTGGGCTACGGGGGAATGCACTCCGGCTTAGAGGGGTGCAGCAAAAGGGGGAAAAAAAAGATCCAGTGCCCAGACCTAGGGAAAGAAGAGGGGAAGGAGTTTAAGGTAGGTATGCCCAGAGGAGCCAGGCTTGGAAGAGAAGCAAGTAGGTTCTAGAAGTAAGGAGATGTGACAGGGGGGAGGGACTTGTCTTCCAAGGATGGGAGCCCAGTGCGCTCTTGGTGGTTGGGGAAGGCAAGCAAACCTGGGGGCGTGGCTTGAAAGAGGAGGCCGAAGGAGAGTGATCAGTTGTGGGGGAACTCAGAAAGGGAGTGGGAAAAGTCAGAGCCGGGCTGAAGTGTGCCAAGCTCCAGGCGTCAGAGAGTTGCTTGGCTGGGACCCTCTTCTCCGTCCTGAACTTCTTAAATGTAGGGAACTGGAAATAAAAGATTCCATTCTTGTGGGACCCTCTTTTTTCCTCTGTTCCACGAAGGGCATAGACAGTCCTGTGCCGAACACGGATGGGCCTTTCTGAGGGACGGTCAGTGTTCAGTCCATTACCAGGACTCTCTATAGGAGATGAGAGTGGGCTTTGATGAGGATACCTGCGGTTAGAAAGGTGTGCATAAGGGCTTCTAGGAGGCTGGGAAAGGGGTGGCTAAGGTAGGGTTATTTAGTCCCCTTTCCCAGAAGGTGGGAACAAGTTCCCTGTGTAACAGCGCCCCCTCCTGGCCCTGGGGAGAAACGGGAAAATTCTCAGGCACACAGAGGAAGGGAGGATTGTTCAGCCGCCCATCTGTTTTCTCTGCAATTATTCCACCCCAGGGGCCCTCTTCCAGCTGCATAACTTCCCAGAGAGGACACTGAATAGGCGGTGAGCAGATCTCATGGAGGCCTGGCAGGGAAATTGCAGCGGGACCCTCGCCAAGTCCCACCACTGCTTGGGGCCTTCAGTTTCTCCACCTATATTTGGGGAAAAGCCTTCCTTGACTCCTGGACAGGGGCAGATGGAATCAGGAGGCTTGACAAGAGGTTTCTAACTCCTAGACAAAGGCAGGAGGAAGCAGCTGGGGCAGAAGTGGGATCAGACTGTCACCCCCTCCCAGGGGAGGGCCCCACACCCCTGGGACTCCCCAGGACTGTTGATGGTGGGAGTCCATGGAGAACACAGAGGCCATGAGCTGGCCGGGTCTCCTTTAACCTAGTGCCTCTTTCAGGAGTTCTGCACCTACGGGTCCTGGCTTTACGAGAGGAACCGGAGGCCAAGGAAGCGTCATCCATCCTTCCCAGGCCAGAAATTCCAGAAAAGCTTAACTTCATCGTGCCATGAAGTCTTTGTCTGACCCCAGGACACCCCCACCTGATGAGCCAGCTGCCCTCCTTCTCCTTTCCCAGGGGCCCTGCCAGCACCTGCTCCAGATGGCCTCCAACCCCTCTGTCCTACGCAGGCCCATGACGTCAGAGTTTATCCCTCACCACCTCCCTTTTTTTTCCTTTACGAAAATAAAAGACAGATTGGCTCCACAGATAGGCTCAGTCCCCTAGGGAGAATGACTGCTCGCTATGTGGTTAGCAATAGGCAGGTGAGGAAGTAGAGGCTGAGGCCTGAGCCCTGAGAAAGTGAGCCAGGGAGGGGGTGAGTGAGGGGGAGAGGCTTTCC